GCGTGATCATATATAAACCGCTGTGTATACTCCTCCTCATGTCACAGGTGACTCGGTGTCTATATATACTCGCTGTTTATACTGCGATGAAGGCGAAGCTAAAATCGACCGTCTCAATATTCGGGATTTTCGCAGTCGACGCAAACTCTTCGATGGTGAGCTGCAATTCTCCATCTATCTATCTATCTGTTTATCTATTTAACTCTCTCTCTCTCTCCTCTCCTCTCTCTCTCTCTCTCTCTCTCTCTCTCTCCTCTCTCTCTCTCTCTCTCTCTCTCTCTCTCTCTCTCTCTCTCTCTCTCTCTCTCTCTCTCTCTCTCTCTCTCTCTCTCTCTCACTGTTCTAAAATGACAATATTGATTATGTTAACAGTAGTAGTAACAATGACAGTAATGAAATCTAGAAATATTTTCTATATTTCCATATTAAGCATCCAAACACTGACAAGTCTTCAGTCCTTTCTTCTCAAGCAGCTCCTACACTTCCACAAACCTCTCTCGCGCCCTCGATATCACAGCGCTCCCTCCCTATCACCCTAGCTCACGTAGGGACCCTGAATGGCCGGAGACTGAGGGTCGCTTCCCTGACGTATTTCCCGTACATGGACTACGAGCGAGACAGCGAGGAAGCTGGGACTACGGTCACGGCGCTGGACTGCCTCGACAGGAGGGTTCTCACCGCCCTCGCTTCCGTGCTCAATTTCAGGTTGGTTTGGGTGGTGTTGTGATTTTTTTTCCGGATTGTGTTGGTGGGTGATGTTATTTTGTTTATATATGCGTATATAGGTGCGTATGGTTTTGTGAACGCACGTATAAGCATGTATGATATATATGGTCATATAATTATGGTTATTTACAGTACATACACACATGCAAATAAAGACAAACACACACACACACACGCACTCTCACACGCACACAAACACACCCACACACACGCACACGAACACGTACACAGCTTCGAAAATGTCCCTGGATTTCAAGCCCATCTACGGCAGGCACCTCACCTATACCGAGTTCCTCCCGCTGTAAGACCAGGCTTCGACGCGACAGGGTCCAGTCCCAGTCAGCCGCGGGGTCTGTCTGTTCAACCACTCACAAGAATTGCTTCTTGTTTTAACTGCCCTTGTTCTTGGCTAATCGTTTTGGGGTTGTGGGTTGATTCTTGGCCAGCAGTTATGTCGGAAGTTTTGTATTTTTTTTTTTTTTTTTTTTTTTGCCATGCGTGTTCATCCGTAATGTGCACGAAATTTAGCCTTGAATTTTTAGATAGACTAATTTGTCTTGTTGCGTTCGGAGATTAGATAGATGGATAAATAGAAAAATAGAAATAGAATTGTGTATTTCAGTGTACCGTGTGACGTATTTTTTCATTTATTTTGCTCGTAGTTGAAATGGAGCCATTGCACTCATGACTGAGGAGCCACAGACAGGTTTATTTTAGAGTTTTTGAAGTTATTGTCATTGTGTCAGTAGTGTGTATCTCTCTCTCTCTCTCTCTCTCTCTCTCTCTGTCTCTCTCTCTCTCTCTCTCTCTCTCTCTCTCTCTCTTCTCTCTCTCTCTCTCTCTCTCTCTCTCTCTCTCTCTCTCTCTCTCTCTCTCTCTCTCTCTTTATGTGCGTTACAACCCCTTTTTATACTTGATAATCTTCCTTTTTTGTCAAGATAATCCAGGTTTTAATTTTGTAAATGCTATGATGCTTATAAATCATTTTCGTATTGTCCATAATAATACAAAGCAACTTTATATCCACCGTTCTTGCATTTTGTGTGTATGTGTCTGTGTGCCTGTGTGTCTTGAGGTTAAACACATTTACATGTCTTGCCCATCCACTAAATTCTGGAAACATCTATAATCCCAACTTCAGGATAAAGTAAAAAGTTGCCTCCTATAATGGACAGGTACATACTTTAGGGATATTCTCTCGTTTTTTTTTTCTCTCTATAATCCTTGTTGCGATGGGAACCAGTTACGAAAATAGACCAGATTCACCCACCGCCAGCTGTCCTGAGAGCGAAAAACCGGCCGGTGGGAATGAGATAATGGCAGCCACGCGAGGAGGAAGAAACTCGAGGGCGTGGCGGCTGACGGAGGGACTGCTGCCCTGTGGTTCGAATCCCTGTGCCTTGGAAGGGAGAGTCGATGGTTCCCCTGCTATCGACTCTAGAGGAGGATGATAGGATAGGAAATGAAAAAAAATAATAATAATAATAAGTAGAAATAGGGATTTTTGTGTATATCATAGGGCATTGTGATGGGTTCCTGTGAGGGTGTGAGGGTAGGTATTCTGTTCTTATCCTCTTCTAACTCTCTCTCTCTCTCTCTCTCTCTCTCTCTCTCTCTCTCTCTCTCTCTCCTCGGTCTCTACTCTCTCTCTCTCTCTTCTCTCTCTTCTCTCTCTCTTCTCTTCTTTTTCTCTTCTTTTTCTCTTCTCTTCTCTTCTCTTCTCTCTTCCTCTTCTCTTTCTCCTATACTCTTACTAACTTCTCTTCTCTTCTCTTACTCTATAACTCCATTAGCCCTTATCTCTTGCCCTTCCCTTCCCTTTCCCATTTACCACTATCCCCTTTTACCACTTACCCACCTATCCCTTCCCCTAGTCCCTATATCTCTATCAACTCACTCTACTCTCTCTTCTCTTCTCTATCCCACTCCCTCTCCTACCCTCCTACCCCACCCCTACCCTCCCCCTTCTCTCTTCCACCACCTCTCCTACTATAGTTAATATTTATTTTAGTACATCCTGCCTCTGCTCTATATATACTATCATCTTTACTTATATTGGTACTGCTCTGTACTGATCTATCTGCCTTCTACACATGTTATCTATGTCTCTCGAGCCCAAAGCGCAATGCGAAAAGCGTAAAAATAGACTTTATTAGCTCTTTTCTTAATTCTATACAGAGAGTAGTTCGGGATAGGTCCTAATACCACAGACGATCAGTATGATACCTAGCCAGGCGCAGATCTACGTTTTATTAAT